TATATATATATTATGTCTTGAAGAAATCAGGCACCACTCCTCACCTGCCCAACAGCATAACATGGTGAGCAGCATCATGTGGTGGGTGTGTTTTTCAGAAGCAGGGATTGGTCAGGGTTTAAAAAGCTGAATGGAGTAAAGTACAAATATCCTTGATGAAAACATACTCCACAGGACCTCAGACTGGGTGAAAGGTTCACCTACTTACATGCCAATGACCCAAAGCACAAAGCAAAGACAACACAGGATTGGCTTAGGAACAACTCAATGAATGTACCAGGATGGTCTAACCGGAGCTCTGGCTGGAAGCCTAATAAACATCTCTGGAGTGACCAGAAAATGGCTGTCCACAGACAGTCCTCATCCAACCTGACTGAGCTTAAAAGGATTTGCAGAGAATGGCAGAAATCACTAAATTAAGGTCTACAAACCACGTTGCATCAATCGCAAAAAGACCCAGAGACTGGAATATCTGCCAAATTTGCTTGAACTACTGTATTATAAAATGTCAGAATMCAATAATTCAGATTTTTTTCATAGAAATTATCTAAGGGCACTACCCCTAGATTAATCTAAAAAAATAGTATTAATAATAATAAATTCAGTTGTAATGCCAGGCTGCAACATAACAAATACAAACAAACAAAAATAAAAGTAAACGAAGAAAGCGGGTCTGAATACTTTCTGAAGCCATTGTAGAAAATACCAATGTTACTTAAAAAAACTTTTTTTTTTTAAATGAATGCAAGCTTTGGGGTCATTTATTCACAAATCCACAATTCTATAAATAAAATGAATATTTAATACAGATTAAATAACAATTAAACTAAGATTTAAAAAAAGTTATCCTTGTCTCTGTGTTAATGCAGTTATATTGAAGTAAACCGATTAGGCACAAGAAATAAAAATGCAAAAAATGTCAAAACTGTAACAAATATGCTGATMGGCAATTAGAGGATGGGTCTGGTTCTTTGTTATAGGCTCCACTAACGAATAAGTAGAAATAAATGTCTGTAGCTAATTAATAGGAAACAAATGTTGCGAGGTCGGTTATTTGTTTTGCCAACCTGCCAGCTGTAGATTTGTTTGGCATAGCTGCATAATTTACATATTTTAAGCTCCGCTGCCATCTCAGACAGCTGAAGTGTTTTGCATCAGATAGAATGAATAATGCCTTGTCAAGTTTCAGTCAGGCTGAGGCTTACAGAATGCATGACAAACCAGCAAAAATGAGCTTGTACAGCAGAAATGTTGCCCCTGRGGGAGCAGCACCCCTCTGGTTAGCTARATTTTCTGAACCACTGGTTAAAACGCGTTGCTACAAACCATTAGGAAATTTGCRGTTGTGTGTGGACTCCTGAAGAAATYAAAAAAAAAAAAAAAAGAATAAATAAGACCATTCTGAGCTATTCTCATTGTCAGATCATCCCTGCAGCACTTTTATCTACCAGCTTGCTCCCACCCAGAGCTTTGCATGACAATTTTGGCTGCAGAAATATTGACGAGAACCTGCAGCCCCCGGGGGAGTTGTATGATTCTTCTTCCTTGAAAACATAATATCCTGCAAACAAAGAAGACTACCAGCTGGCTTGGTCATTCAATTATTTTTTCTTGTCTTTTTTTTTTGGAGAAACCTAAGAAAAAATAGCCTGTTGGCATTGTCTGAGCAGCATGGAATAAAATAAAATAACATATATTATACAGTTTGGCTTCATGTTATGGCACCCATGCACCCAAAACTCCTAGCAGATATCTGTTGTGTTTAAAATAAGYACCCATACAGGTCCTGTGGTGAATCTGCATGGATCGTAAAGCAGCTAAAGATTGCAGAGCTAGTATGATGTGACTTTCCTAAGTAATCATTGATCTTTTCGTATGTCCACACTCACAGACGGTGGTTTTCTGCACATATATTTAGTTAAACACACACCAGTGGGTCTCGGGGATGGCTTCAGGGATTCTGCATGCTGCAATATATCATCAAGGCTCACATCAGTCCAGCATTTTATAAAACATTAGAGCTGCTCAGGGGCAAACATTAAAGATTTATTTTGTTATATCTAGATTTAGCTAGTGCATGTTTGATTATTCCCTTGTAAAACCATGCATATATGTATTTTTCACTCAATGTGTTGCTGATAAAAAAGTGATTTATCTCCTTTAGTATGAGAACTATAAAATTAGTTAAAGATATAAAATACAAATTAGCATTTTGGTGCTTAAAAAAGACSAGGAAATCTCCCACAAATGTACTCTGACACAGTCATGTGTTCATAAAGTCGGTCTCTATTCAGTGAAATGAATCAGTGAAGCAGCCCTAACAGGACTCTCTTGACACCGTAACGACAGTTTTGGGTCTCCGGCTTCTTTATGAGAAGGAATAATTCACAAGCTTCAAACACAGCTGTAAAGTTTAAGATGCCCAATATGTATGTGAAATGTAATGCAGTGAATATTCTGATTACATTAATTGAGAGGAACTTTTATAACAACTTTAGCACAAGATGGCAATCTGCTTCAGCATCAAATCCGGACTGTTTTGTGTTTGTAAATGTTGGTGCTATTTACTCTGACAAACACTTGGAAGTGGGATATAAATCAAAAATGAAGTAAACAAAAGTGTCTAATTAGGGTAAATCAATTTGGATATTTGAATGACTAATATTAACACCAGTTTTTATAAAATCAGGGCAGCTGCTGGTCAATTTAGAATTTGTTTAAAACAATAAAATCTATTATTAAAGAATGTCCTGATGTATCTCAATAATCTCTGTAGAACAATCTAAAGAAAAAAGTTGAGTATGTCCTCTGGACGAGTCCTTTGTCAGACTGAAAAAGTCTCTTGAAGAAGGAACTAAATGTAGCCTACCTGGACTGTGAAGGGTGTGGCCTATGTGGACCAGTCTAGGTGGCTGCGGCCCCTAAATTAAGACACAGCTGGTTGCTCATATATTTGATGTGTAAAAAAACACTACACTGGCCATTAATGATGACATCATTAAGCCAATGACTTTATTAGGACACACAAACTGTAGACCAGTTTAATTAATAAAGTGTAATCATAAAACAAAAAGTTCCTATAATACTTTAGTTAGCCATTTTATGGTTTGTTGGTGATGTGCCAAAAAAGCCCCCTTGCCAAGATTCCAAGGACATATTTTCAAGTGTAGCTACTCTGAGCTATACATTTAAAATTCAGTTTAGTATGCTTAGACACGGTTGATGATGGTTATTTACAGAAAGATGGGGAAAAATGGTACATTTGGTATACTTCTGGTGTCTAATGAGGAATCAATATCCATAGAGCACATATCTTAAATACCATTGTATTTTTACTTGCTAATAAATTCTTTTTTTTTTTTTTTTGTCTTTTTGTCTTTCCAGACCATGATTTTCTCATAAAATCATGCACAAATCCAGAGTGGGTCATAAATAACTGAAAGCCACAACAGCAACATAGAAAAAAAAAAACAAAAAAAAAAAAACATAATTTTGACCCTAAAATTTTCCCACACACATAAAGCAATAACCTTTTGCAAAACAGAAAAAAAGGTATAAGGTAAGTTATAACATCATTGCTTGGTCTCACCTTTATAAGCTCTAATATTCAGTAAATTTTAAACAAAACCACAATCTGCTGTTTGCTATGAAAATCCAGTCAATGAGAGTAGGAAGCAAAAAACAAAGAGTGTGTTTGTGTGTGCATGCATGTATATCAGTGTGTGCGTCCGAGCATGTGTGCATTGCGTTCATGGCACGAAATCAGCTCAGTTTAGCACATAATGGAAATGTGAAAAGCCCAGAGCGCTTTCCTCCCACCCAGGGAGAGATCTGGCTGGGAGCTGGCTGCATTTTTCCAAACCTAAACAGTGAAAGAGAGTTAGCTAGGTTAAAATCCTGCTCCCCACCACCTCCCCTTTCCTCGCTCCTCCCTGGAGCGGTTCACAGCTTTGCCCATACATTACTCAAGCAGGTCATCCAAACAGGTCTCGCCGAGACTCTGAAAAACATATTTACACACATCTGCGCACACATGCTGTGCATACACACACTCGCACATTTGCAGGTTCAGCCAAAAGGTGAAGCTGCACATATTATGACAGATGACATCTTCCATGGCTGCAGTAGCACAACTGCCCCAAAATGTTACACTTAATTTAACATGAACCCTACCTTTTTCAAATACAACATTTACACATTTTCACATTTTCATACAGCCCGTGAAAGGTTACCAACCTTGACACATCCTGCATAACCATTTCTCTTTCATGCAGGACTGAGCTTTTATTGATCGTGACATAACCACATTTTTTCTTCTTCTTTTTGACTTAGGAACATGATGAAAAGTCTGACTTACGTGCTACTTCTAGCGATGCATTTCGGCTCARGGCCTCTCCCAGATAATTTCGGGCYACGCACACATAGTTGCCGTCGTCTGGTTTGCTGCGTCGTCCGTGCACGATCCGCAAGAAGAAGAGGGACCCGCTGGGGAGCAGCATTCGGTGGGAGCGAGGATTCTCACGGTCCGTCTCCACACGCTCCCCATCTTTGAACCATTCCACCGTAGGGGTTGGACGGCCTTCTGCTTTACAGTTAAGAGTGGCTGGTTCCCCRTTGGAAACAATGAGGTCAGAAGGGTGTTCAACAATGCGAGGAGGGGAATCTTCCTGGCGAAGACGGGACCCTAAAGAAAACAAGAGAATAAGGCATCCTGGTAAAAACTCAAACAATTACAAACCAGTCTTTATATTTCATGATAATCAAGCTGATGTTATTTATGAGGATATATGGACTGTATGTCTGAACTTAACCAGCAAATACAAGCAACATATAAAAACAAAGTGTAGAAATGACTCAGACAAACAAAATACAACMTTGAGGACTTCCTCTATCAACAGTTTTACAAAACAGGCTAAAAGCTGTGAAACTGTWGAGCAAACCAGCATCATGCTGTGTTATTTCACTTGAAAAGGTCATGGCCCCTGTTGTGTCCTGAATAAAGTTCGTATCTCACTTAGCGGGGYCAATCAGTGACAAACTGAAAATATAAAATTATAAGAATTTTTTTTCACATGGAATCACACTGAAGTTACGACACATTTGCAAATGTACATTTGCACCAGACATTTTTAAGACAGATCTGAAAAATACAATCAAATGCAGTATAAATTTTTGTTACATGTTATGTGTAATGTTTGTTAAAATTGGTGAAAAGTTTCCCAATCACATCTCGGCTTGATGGCAATTTATTTTCCCTTTTTGCCTCCAATCTGTCATAAATTGGGTCTATGGTTCACCAAACCCTACAAAAATTGCTCCACATTTATTGCACTTTTTTTGACTCATCAAAACAACTGAAGTTCAACATGATTTTCTGACATCTGTGATTACCATTTGACTATTTTTTGATGGAGAATTTGTCACATATTGTTTTAAACATGGTCAAAATCCCCGTGACTTCAGTAAAAACCTGTGTTTCAGATTACAATTAGGAACTTTTGCAAATGTCTTGAGACTTTTTTGGAAACTCCTCACATATGGCGTCCAGAATTTAATGCCAATAATCGTAGTCCAGTAAACTGCAGGCTTAAATACTGGTGACAAGCTGGGGTTATATGTTTCACAGCAAAGACTGAAAACATTTTATTTGCTTAAAAAAAAACACAGTGGCAGTTGTATGATATATTTGTTTCATCGCTCCAGCTGAAGAGATCATTTAGATGGTAAACTGTTGGAAATGTTTTGCTTACATCACTTCTATAATTCAAATCAATTATGCAAAGACTGACCTGAATATGTTTAAGATTGGTAATATGCATTAAATACTAAGTCCAGCTTTCTTGGAAGAACAACTTTTAAATTAATATCATTCTATAATGTAATTACTTTGATTATGACATGTATTAAACTAAATTGGACCATACATATGCAATTTGATTTTTATATGATTCTGACTGTATCAAATTAAACCATTACTGGATTATATTGGAATCAATTAGATTTAATAAATTGATTTGGGCTGAACTGATTTTCATGTAACATTATTTGATTGTGACCTGTTTGCTGTTAGAAGACACTTTTATGAGAACATAATTAATCAAAATGAACTGATTTAAAGTGAATCTATCAGTCAAGTAAACATCTAATGAAGTTAGCCAATGAATGAGCATTGTCATGGGGTGACCCATGACATCTGATGGGGGACTTGCACATTTGTGGATGAACAATCATTTATTGCACAGTTTTGTTTGTTTTGCTGTATTTTTCAGACTTTTAGAGTTGTGCTGTTTGGGTGTTGTTTTTGTCTTACTTGGGTGTGGTMTTCAAGCCACCCTGTAAAAAGCAGAGTAAACCATAAATCTAAAAAAAATAGTCTGTAAACAAGACTAGTAGGTCACAACTAAGTGGTAATTTATCTGAAAAGAAACTCAATCAGTGTTCTTACACTGTAGCTCCTGTATTTGCTTTTACTGACAGGAGCTGAAACATTCTTACATCTTGTTAGCTCTTTCATCAACACATCCCATCAAACACTGACATCTTCAAACATGTTGTCTCAGAGGGATTATTCAATTTCTCACTTTGCATTGTAATACTTGATGAATAAAGGTTACTRTCCTTGTCAGTTTACATAACTGTATTATGCAGAATATTTACTTTTTAATGCWGCTTGATCCAAACTACAGGTCTAAGAATAATGTCATTTTTTACACCCAAGCCCTGTTCTCTTATTATTCTTTCATTTCACTTGAAACTTGTCTAAAATAGGCACTACTTTCCTATTCCACTTCTAAACATGACACAGCAATGACACATATATAGGTATACTGTTTGTTTACAGGCGTCCTAACTCACATCTGTTTCATGGTACATGAGCTCATTATAATATTTGTGTTAAAAGGTCTTTGACTATTGCTCTGTGCATGCAAACAACACAGAGTGGTGTTTCAGCTGTTAAAGCAGAGTTTTATAAGGCAAACACTGACAGAAATATGGAATAYTGCTGTTCTAATCTTTTGGGCTTGGATGGCGACAAATATACAAATTTCAACCATGATTTTCTGCTATGCAGCAGCAAGATAAAGTTGCAAATGTGAATAAAATGGATGTGACTGTGCTAATGTTAAGAGGTTTGTTGACAAAAAAGCATTCCATTAGCTGGCAACAATGTGAACTAGGGTAATACATTGTGTTTTGAAAAAGGRTTTTAAAGCTCTTTATGTAGTGTATCTTGATCATTTGTGGGCACCCATAAAAACACACAAACAYACACKGATTTGAAGCACTAACTTTGTTTAATTGGTTGTTTTCACTGAGACTTCTTAAAATGGTYCATCAGATGACAGAATTTCAATGAGCACTTTTTAGGATGAGGATGGCACATTGAAGCAGCAGCTGGTGTAATGTCACAACAGTACGAATGGTTCTGTGAGATCCACTCAGTCTCCATGGGTCCTGGGATGTACTGGTAAACTGCTTTCACAGGTCACGCTCTGTGTGACCTTTGACCCTGAATGGAAATAAGCAGGGGCTTAAGCAGGGAAACAGATTTATTTAGACTTTTTATAGGAACAGAAATGTTGCCAAATTGAAGCAAGTTTTGTCTAAAAAMTTTAAATGCTTGATGTTTATCTGTTTCAATTTGCAACAGCCTTGGTTTGTAGAAATAGTTTACGCCAAACCAGATTGATGAGCTAATAGATCTCTGTGAATGCAAACTATAAGTGGTTTGGTGCAGTGTTAAGGACCCAGCACATCCGTTCCAAATCTGAACGCGGTCACGCAGTTGTTCAGTGTTTGTTTACGCACACACCTTTCATAGCCCCTGAAACACACAGTGTCAAGCACCTGGTAAACTCATCCCACTGTGGTATACATCATAGGGTTTCTTCTCCCTGGAGTCTACACTCTCGAATAAAAACAAAACAAAACTGATATCCTCCATTATTTTGTCCACAAATCTTAAAGTGCCACAGTTTTTGACAGACAGATTTCTTCATGTAAAAATATCTGTTTATCCCCATCAATGAGTTGTTGGCCATTTGACTATATTTATTAATGTCATGCTTCCAGGTAAAACAGTCGACTTCTGGAAGCAAGTGGTTGAAATAAAAGACAGTGTACAAAAAATTAGAACATAAACAAACACGGCCGCAAACTTCTGACCAATTACAAAAGAATGTCTTATGCAGAGAGAGGTAAAAAGTTTCCCGGTGGGTTAGGGTTAACAAGAAAGGGTGGAGACTCAAAGCTGTAAACAAAATGATGTGATTTTCATCARGGAACTGCAACAAWGAGAGCAGATTCTGCAAGTTCAGATGGAGTATAAAATGCAAAATGTTATAGCATTTCAAGTAAAAGGCTATTCAATAATTTATCAAATTCAGGGATTGTTGTCAGTTTTGCATTGCACAGATAATCACATGAGATTGTTTTGTCATATACAACCATAAGTAGCACCAACACCAGCAACAAGTAGTGATTCCAGGGCAATTGTGGGTCACATAAAATAAATTTGTCAATATTTTGGCAATGAAAATGTAATGTACAATTGATGTTATGAGTTAAAATAATGGTTTTTGCATAAAATACAGTGGAATTTTGAAGATTAAAGCTGCTCTAAAACAGCAAAATTGACTTTTGAAATTGGTCCATTCAGACTGGTATTCAGACTATTCAGGCTATTTTTGGCTTGTCAGCAAGACATCCGTTTTTCAAAGGGGTTTGTGCCTTCGATCTTCAAAATCTCAGGAGTTTTTCAGTGTGATTATTTAAATAACTATGCATCACTGTGTAATGCAACATCAGTGGAGGTGTAAAGGTTTTCAAAGAGCATTTTTTATAAAGCACTATGAGATTTTAGAGGCATTTATTTTAAAACAATAGCAATCCACTTTGATCGTGTCTATGRACAGAATAGCCTTTAGTTCATTGTTCCTGTCAAACATACACACAGGCTTTATTTAACAAACTGTTTACAGTTTTCTACAACTAATAACATGGGAATTAATCGAATAATCGACCACCACTAAAGGGCAAGAAGATGTGTCTGACTGTGTGTATGTGTGTTTGTGTGTTAACAAAACATATTGTGGATRACTGGTTAGATTGTAATGAAATATTCATGATTATACAGGGAATGTACTATTACAACTAAATAACATTTGGAGCTAACTTGATTAAAGATGGCTGCCACACCCAACTTAAAATATAAAGTACRATAACAACTAAGATTCATTTAAATTTACTGACATTCTGCTAAAATTTGGTCTGGTTGTAACACAAATGCCACWCATTGTGCAATTCCTCTGCTTAAAAATGAATTAACTGTTGGAGTTAAACCAGTTTATCTGTTAGCAAAATATATTTGATTTAGAAGAAAATCTCCTAAAGGAACTATTGGATACATCCACAACTGGTTATCTTTGAAAATTGACCCAGTTCAAGATGGCCACTACAGCTTATTAACATCGGCTATCCATGAATGGCTTTACATTAGTCAATTTTACCTAGAGCTAAAGTTTGATGCAATTATAGCTGAGAATCATTCAGAACACAGACTCTGAGCATGCCATCCTATAATACTGTATGAGATTATGCACAACATTACTGGCTATCATCCATCCATCAGTCCATTTTATTTACTATCTTTTATTTTTCTTTTAAGATTACTGAGCTAATGCATATATCCAGCAGTCACTCTACAAGAGGCAGGGTATACCTCGGACAGGTCGCAAGTCCATCACAGTGCCACCATGAGACAACTATTCACTCACACCTTGGGATAATTTTTGATTTATCAATTAGTTTGACATGTAGATTTTTCATCTATAATTTGGTGAGGAAGAGTTCTAACCACTGCTCCACCATTTCATTCCATTACTATTAACATAAAAGGACTTTAATCGAAAACTTTGAGAGAAAAGCAGGCGGGCGATAAGGTGTCTTGATTTTTTTTCCTAACTGTTACACACAAATCTCTACAGGATGAAAAATCCTAGCTTCAAATGACTCATAAAAAATAGTATTTTAAAAGTCTTGTAAAAACCATAGGAGGTGATAATAGAAAAGTGATTTGGCCAAATTAAAAAAAAAATACTTGACATTAATAGCGTGCAGAAGGCTCCCATGTCTTTAATGAACTTTATCTGCATTAGTTACTGCCGCAAACTTTAAAGCATTAATACAGTATGTTTTCAGTTTTGTTCAACAGGTTTATATGGAGCTATCCATGGTGCTGAAGCAGAAAAAAAAGAAAAAAAATCAGAACCTCTGAAAAAAAGGGGGCTTATAAGCAGAGGCTATGCTGATAAAAGTCAATTTAAGGTGACAGCRTTCCTGCAGTGAAGTTCAGAAGAACTCAATTTGAGTTTCTAACTGAAAGATTAATTTGACTGTCAAGCAAAGGGCACTCATCATTCAAGTATTGTCCATTTTTCAAKATACACGATTGAAATGTCAAATTATAAAGACACTTCCAAAGAKGATTTTAGAATCAAGATTTATAGAAACCATACAGACATGATGGGCGCCCTTTGTGCTCTAAATACAGTGTGCTCCCACTGCTCTCATTATTAACCTCTTCAGAAAATCACAAAACACAAACTTTTGTCTGTGCTGTCAGTCAAACAAAGCACCTGCTAGAAACATGTCACAGAAGTCAGAGTTGTGCAGGTTGTTACATACAGTAAATGTTCTGTGGCTGCTAATCTTTAGTGCATAGATCAGTTTTTTTTCTTCTTTTTTATCGTATTGCARGAAAAGTCCAATAAAGGAAGAGCAAAGATCAATAGCAATCCAATACAAACTGCAGCCTAAAAAAGAGCCGTACAGTTCATCCTGCACCTGTGTAACATGGTGTCAATAAAACCTGAAGAGCACCAATGAGAAAGGCTCTGCAGCAGTGTCTTGATTCTGGTGTCACTTTTACAAATCAGCCTTTAAGAGTTTTTCACTGATGGTTGATCAACACCAGTGTACTTCTTATATGGTTAATATATATATATATATATTTTTTTCATTTGTTAAAATATGTAATTTGCTTAACTTAAATAAATGTAGATTGAATAAGCCATAGACATTAAAAATAAAATAAAATGTAGAAGCACAATCTGCTGTTGCATCTCCATTTAGCTTTGTAACTGATTAACAGGCATGATTGATTTTTTTTAAAGTGGCCAATATCAATTGATTAAAATTGGTCTTTCAATTTGTGCAAAATAATTTAAATCAGAACTYCAAGATGGAACCATCTGTCTCTATACATGCGCGTCCTATGCTGGAAACTACTGCATCCCATTTAGTCCAGCGGAACACAGATGTGCTGGATGTGTTTCAGAGTTCAAAGTTTTGATGGACGGYGCAGGACTTCCTGTTCAAAATCTTGGATTTGTAACTAAGTTTATTACCACTGTAAAAGTCTAGACTTCAAAATGGATGAGCCAGTTTCCAAAAGGTTTATATTGATGCACAGCTGGGATTTCAAGAATACAACATTTAGCTTCAATTACTTTAATGCTACTAGATAACTAACAGAAAACAAAAACACAGAGCACAGTCTAATATGATAAGATATTCGTGATTTATGAAATAGACTGGTGTATATGTTTAAAAATATAATAATAGCACACTATTGTCAAATTTACCTTGGACACACAAACCCTTGAATGTCACATAGGATTTAATTGTTGCCAAACATGAGTTAATTTGGAGCAGCCTTCATGAAAAAATGAAAAACTTTTTGTCTGATGAATTCATTAAAGGAGTTGGCCTGCATTTTCTTTCTTTTTTTTCACAGTATAATACAAATTCATCAAATATCAACACAATATTTCAGTTAAAAATAAATAAACGTGAGAAGCATGCATAGCGCTTGTTTCCTTGGSTTAAAAACGCGTCAAGTCACATTCCCTTTTCTGACGTGAAGGATGATACAAAACAGTCAACTTACCGTCGGTTCTGGCGCACAGAAGTCCACAGAGGAATACATAGTGTAGAGGACCCATTCTGGCATATTGGCCTCTTCTGAGCTAAGGGGCGCAGAAATTCTCCTTAATTAGAACAAAGCAATTAGCTGATCGATCAGTCCCAGGGTTTTTCTTTTCTTTTTTCCCTTTATATGAAACTGAAACAAAAAAAGAAAAGAAAAGAAGAGCAATTTCTCAGCCGCTGGAGGGAAATCTCTCTCATTCACATGTCCGTTCCTCCTCTCCAAGAGCGCACCAGTGGAACAGCTGTGGTCTGTCGGCACTCCGACACGTTGGCGGTCTCCACAGTCACCGATTCAAACATCACCGACGCCCACGTCCAGATAGCTATAAAATATTAAAAAAGAGGGGGAAAATATAAAAAAAAGAAAGAAAGGGGGTGGGGGACAACTCCACGTTCCAGTCAGCGCCGTCCCGCTGCAGTCCGGTAACACATCAGCGGGTCCGTGGAGCAGCGGCTCGTGTCCATCCTGACGCGGGACAAGCTGAGAGGATGAAAGGTGGAAAACGGGATCGAGTCAGTCAGAGGTGAGGAGCTGCACGGCGCGGCACGGCGCGGCACGGCTCAGCCCCTCCTATATCCACCCGGCTGCCCTGAGACAAACTAACCCCCGCCACAAATCTGCACATTGCATCTCACAGGCAGCTGGAGTGACGGGGGTGGGGGGTGGAAACCAGCTTTATGAAGWAGGGAGTGTTTTGTGCTGAACTGAACGTTTTAGGAAACGTTTTAATTGTTTTMCTGCAGCTGCAACTGAAAACAAAGGTTTGCATGAATGCATATGACATGTTGCCTCTCGTGTGAGWGCTTTAAACTGAGATTATATCATGATAATAATTAACACTCAAAACCATTTCAGGCAAAACTTGAACCACAACAAAATTCAGTCTTATATGTCCTATTTGGAATAATAGGAAATCAACACTGGATGAATAAAGACATTTGATCAATAATTCACCGTAGGGTGGCTATCATTTGAAAACTTCTGTTCCATTTACTTGTTAAATTTAATAAAATATCCAAAGCAATTCATCAAACAGTCAAATAACTTGTATTTTGGAGAATGTACCTSCTAACTTACCAACACTAAATATCATTAAACATGCCTTTCTTAAAGAAAAACCAAACAAAACCCTGCATAATCATCTGATAAATGGTCTATACTCAATATGTGCAATATAAACTCCATTATGCAAAAAAGTTCTCTGAAGTAGAGGTAAAAAAATGGGACGAACTATATCTTAAATTTCCTGTAAGTCCAAGAAGTATTTTTTAAAGTCTTGAAATCCATCAAATGAAATGCTTAGAATGCCATTCCAAAT